TGGTCTGAAGTTTTAACGACACTTTTCCCGACACTCAGCACTCCTCGGACCTCAGATGACTAAAGCTTTGCATTTCAGAGTCAAAACAGAAATCCTCATTTGAGAAGCAGTTGCCGTTTCACAGGAAAGACCAATCTTTGAGATTTTTTTTCAAGACAGGAAATAACTAGTGTGTAATGGATCGCGTGCCAGTGGAATCTCTCTCTGCCCCGCTGTGCCGACGCGTGTTGCTGCTTCAGATCGGGTGCAAGCCAGCCTCGATCCCCGGAAACGGAGAGGGACCCGCCGGTGAAGGAGCACTGCCTCCTGTATTCTCACCCCTCTGTGTCTAAGCACCTTTCCCCAGGCAGACCATTCATTAGATGTTGGGAAAGCATAGCCTTTGTGGCTGACCTCTGGTTTTCCCCCTGATCTCTTCCATCACTCATGACTATCTCTGGTCCTCCTCCAGTTCTGTTACCCTTCCCCCCTCCTCTTCCAGCCCTGATGACGGCAGGTCACGATCACGTTTCCTCTCACCCTGCATCTCAGTCGAACCTGCATCGCGCTCTCAGCTCACTCCAGTCTGTCCCCACTGTCCTGACAATGAGGTGCCTGCAGTGGAGGCCAGAGCCCTCAGTGGGCATCACAGAGAGCCTGGAGAGGCCTGGGGGGTCCTGGGGGCAGTGCCCATGCCCGGTCAGCCTAGGGTGACCTGCGTTACTTCTGCCAAGATCTGGTAGTTTCCGTGTCCCCAAACCCCGGGGCCCAGCCGAGCGCATCTCCTGCGCCGCGCCTGCTCCACTCTTGCTGGTGTTCCGTCTGGAACGAGCCTTCTCTGTCTTCGAACATCTCCTCTCCCCTTTTCTCCTCTTTTCCACCCTGGCTGAAGCCGTAGCACTTTCTCCCTCTCAGCGGGCATTCGCTCTGCAGCACTTTGCGAGCAGGACTCTGTGTCCTTACAGTTTCTTTGAGACAGAATTCACACATCATGCAATCCACTCATTTAAAAGGCATGATTCTCAAGAGTTGTGGCCATCACCACAGCCAGCTTTCAACGTGTTCATCAGTCCTCAGGCCCTCCCACCACCCCATCCCGCCCTCACCTTGGGCAGCACTGGCCACCGCCTCACTGAGTTTGCCTTGTCTGGACATTTCATAAAAATGGAACCATCTAGAATGTGGCCTTCTGTGACTGGCTTCTTTCACTCTGCATAGTGTTTTCAGGGTTCATGTGGTAGCCTGGATCAAAATTCCATTCCTTTTCATGGGTGAATCAATCAGTACTTTTTGAATGAATGTTTTATACATTTCTGTTGGTTTCTTCTCTTAGTCTTAGAATATATAACAGTTACACACTTGAAAAATACATGTGGCTTTGAATATTTATATTACATATTTTTATTCGTATTTCTTTTAGTAAAATCGACAGTGCTTATGGGTATTAAACAGTACAGAAGTATACAGAGTAAAATACAAATCATTCCATCCACTCAGACTAACCACTCTTCACAGTTCTGTTTCTTTGTCCATACATTTTTCTATACATAAGCACAAACATACAGACCTCTCTCACCTCTTGTTTGACACTGAGGTCGGTAAAAAAAAAAGTTTCATTCTTACAAATTGCCTTGGTAAACATACCTGTGCATACATTCTTGAATTTCTTACTGGTATTTTCTCTAGAATATACTCTAAAAAGTAGAATTATTTCGATAAAGTATGCATGCAATTAAATTTGGCTGAAGAGACCAGAGTGCTCCCCAGTCTATATTCTCATCAGTGGTATATATGAGGGCCCACTTCCTCAGGTCTTTACCAACAACTGATTGTTAAAAATCCTTGAAGCTTTTGTTGCCAATGTGATGGGAGGGGGGGAAAAAACAAAACCCTATCTTGCTTAATTTGTTATTCTTTAATTATTAATGACAGCTGACTATCATTTAATGTGCTTATTAACCATTTACATTCCTTCTGTGAGTTTTTGGTTCATATCCTCTGCCCATTTTTTCTATTAGATTATTAGGAGTATTGTTATCACTTTCATAATGTATTGATAGCAATCCTTTGTTTTATTTATTCTAAATTTTCCCAAGCAAAAATTTGTAGTTTTACTTACATCTTTTCTGTCTCCATACAAATGTTTTAAATGTTCGACTAGCCAAATCCTCCCCCTTTTTTTTTCCTTTCATAGCTTTCTTTAAAAGCACTACTCACTATGTTAGTCATGCTGCTATAACAAAATGCCATAAGCTGGGGGTGGCTTATCAGCAACAGTTTGTTCCCCAACATTCTGGAGGCTGCAGGTCCAGGATCCTGGCACACAGGCTGGTTCTACCTGGGGCTCTGCTCCAAGCTACAGATGGCCCGCTTCTCCTCAGGTCCTCACGAGTGGGAGGGAGGCCGGTCTCTGAGCTCTCCTCATTCACGAGGGCTCCACCCTCACGTTCAAGCATCTCCAGAAGGCCCCCACCTCAGACCATCGCTGCGATGAGAGGAGAGTTTCAACCTAAGGATCTGAGGGGACACACAGTCAGTCATCACAGCCCACAAAGAATAAGATAAAGAACATTTATCTCTCCCCCAGCCTAAGATAAGCTGAAGCAGCAGCACAACCTCATAACCTCCTCTCTCACCTGCGTGGTGGAGGAGATCTAAGCATCACAGCCCAGGGCTCTGACCCAGGCTGCTGTGTTCACAAGGCACCCGACCCCTTGCTTTCCCCGTTTCGGAAACTCGCAGTTACGTGACACAGCCAGAGCTCAGGAGACACCCGACTTCGCCCTGTCTAAACCTGGCCCTTGCCAGACGCTCGGGGCCAGACGTCCTGGTCTTTTCTCAACAGTTGACAGAACATCACCAGCTCTGAATCTATCCCTGGCTCTTTGATATATTTGAAAAAGCAGCCTGCTCATTCTTGGCTCCGAGCATCTAGATTCTGTCAACAGTGTAACTGAAACTTTGCTTCTTTTTGCATTTTAATCCACATGTTCTTTCTGGGTTATCTTATCTGCTTCATAAAAAACAACAGTAACAGTTATGATAACAACATCTAACATTTCCCAAGCACTTTCTGTGTGTCAGACATTGTGCTGTACTTTATACAAATATTAAGGCATTAAAACCACCCTGTAATATCATTGCTCCTTTTTACAGACGAGGAAACTGAGGCTCCAAGGGGTCCGGGTCACGCAGACCAGCCATTGGCAGATCTGAGCTCGAGTCCCAGCCAGCCTCACTCCGGAGTCTGTGTGTTTAACTACACTTTAAACTCAATTTTCCGTTTCCTTCCTTCTCTAAAACTTGCTCTGCCTCCTGTATTTTCAGGCTCATCTGCCTTGTTCTCTGTCCTCTCTCATGTAACCCCGCCTCCCACCAGTCCAGCCTTAGGAAATTCTCCCACCCACCCAGCCTGTACTCCTCCTCCATTCTCCCCTGGGCTCGTGACAATGACCTCCCTGGACATGCTGTTCCTTCCACCCATGTGACCTGCTTCAACTTCATAGTGTCTTCTGAGAACACAACACCGATCACATCACTGTGCTGTCTTAAAGCTCTTGGGCTTCTGGTTGCTGCTGTCGCCCTTGTGGTTCTCACCAGATGAAACCTGAACCCTTAGCTCTGTGTACGCTGCTTGGCCCCAGTCTGTCCCTCCAGCCTCACCTCTGCCATTCTGCACTCCGTCCCCTGCCTGATACTCAGCTTCTGGGGGAGGGGTGTGTCTCACCATCCCTAGACCTGTACCCCTCGATGGCTTTGCACATCTGCACCTGTTCCATCTGCTCTACCACTTCTGTTTCTGACCTCCTGGATGCACTTCTGTTCAGCCTTCAGGAACATCCGGGACTCCCTGCCTCGGGGTGACGTGGGCATCCTCCTGTCTGCCCCGCCGCCTGTTCAGGCCTCGGTCACCGCCCTTTCCTGGCTGGGTCATAGTCATCTGTGTACTTGCTCGTCTCCTGGGAGGGCTCCAGGGCAAGGGCCAAGTCAGTCGCATTTCAGCGCCGAGCACAAAGTAGGCCCTCATACACACTGGTGCAGTGCATGGAGGAATGTCAGAGAGTGTTTAAACAATAGGAGATACACTTCTAAACAGGCTGTTTCTCTTTGGCTCAGGCAGCGGGCCTGAGGCAGGGAGTCTCGTGCGCTGAGCCGGAGCAGCCCGTGGCAGGGCGTGGGGCCCTCCCTGAGGCAGGGACCAGTGTGCATGACCCTGTCTGATCACACGTGCGCGCTGCCACCTCCTGGGCCTGAGTGTGACGGCGTGGCCCAGTGGAAGGACACCTGGAGTGAGAGCACCCGGGTGGGATCCCAGCTCTGCAGGTCACCCTCTGGGGGCCTTGGGCCAGCCTCTAACCTTCATCTTCAAGAGGAGACATTCGATACTCCTATACTTTCCTGATTGCTAATTCTGATACAGGAAGACTTCGTATAGAAACTGACTCTTCTTCATCATTTTTTTTTTTTAGCTTCACTGAGCTAAAATCAACAAAATTGTAATATCTTTAAGGGGTACACCCGATGGTGTGATGCACGCAGACATCATGAATGGTTTCTTCAGCCTTTCGGTCAAGTTATTAACACACATCATGTCACAATTTCCTCCTTTTTCTGTAGGAGAACCCCTAAGCCCTGCTCTTCTAGCAGGTTTCAGTGTGTGACACAGTATCATTGATGGTGGTCACCAGGTTGTACATTAGACCTCAGACCTCATTCATCTCGGAACTGAAAGTTTGTGCCTTTTTACTGCCCGCTTCTGTTTCTCATGCTTCCAGCCCCTGGCAGCCACTGTTCCTCTCTCTGCTTCTCGAATTTGACTCGACATTTCTCCCTCCAGGTTCCATGTGTAGGTGACACCACGCAGTGTTTGTCTTTCTCGGTCTGGCTCATCTCACTGAGCGTGATGCCCTCCAGGCTCATCCATGTGTTTGCCAGCATCCTTCCTTTGTTGATGAAGGGTAATTCTGAACTCAGTGCGAACGGGCTTGATTTATTTCACCTGAATCCCTCTCTCCTTTCAGCTTCAGAGCGAACAGGAGAAAGGTGAGCGGGACAACACTGAGTTGCAGGAGTTTGCCAACGCCGTCCTGCAGCAGATCGCGGATCACTGTCCCGACATCCTGGAGCAGGTGGTCAACGCCCTGGAAGAGTCATCCTGACCCCTCGCGGAAGCGGCCAGCCCAGCAGCCCGAGCGTTGAACCCAGGAGCCAGGAGAGGAAGCGTGCGAGGAACCGGGCCCTAGGCTCCTGGCACCAGACACACTACAGACCCCGTCCCGCCTCGCTTAGTCCCTCCAGCGAGGCGCCAGCGCCGTTTCTCGTCTGTCTTCTAACCTGCTTCCTTCTTTGGGTGTCGTCCCCACACTAACTGTCCTGCCGTCCCAGTCGGGCGAGCAGCCGAGCCTCCGTGGAGAGCTGCCCTCCGGCCATCAGCAGTGACACTGGACGCTGGCGGCTATGCCCTGATGGGGACACAGGGAGAGCCCCCCCAGTCTGTGGCACGAGGATGGAGTCTGGACGCTGCGGAGCTCAGCTTTCTGGGGGATGCCTCACTGTGGACCCAAGAGCTGTGTGTTCTGATACCAGGACAGGTGCTTTCCCCTAAGAGGGTAAAAAAGAAATCCCAAAAAGAGTATTAACAGAAAGAAGGGGGAGAGGGACCAGGGACCGAGCCGACCAACTCCCCCTCTCCTGTCCATGCTGGTGACTGTCCACGAGGGGCATCTAGGCAGGCCTGTGGGTGGGCACTCGGGGACCCGGCCTCCCTGCCTCCTGGTCCTCATGCTTGTCCTCAGCCTCTGGGTGAGTCCCTCTTGCTTGGTGCATTGGATCACGTCCGTCGCTGAAAGAGAAGAGGGCAGTGTGGCCACGCCCACAGCTCTGCTTCTGTAGAATATGACCGCTCCTCTGGGTCAGGCTGGCTTCCCCAGAACGTCTCCGTCTCACCCCTGAAGAGTGCTTCTGCCTCCCCCCACCCCACCCCCTGAGCACTCCAGGCTCAGGCACCCCCTCCCCACCCCTGCAGCCTTCATCCTGACCCACAGCCTCTGCTGCACATGGATGTCGCTCATCACACATGCACTCCTTCCCTTCTTCTGCTCAGACCGTGTTTATGAAGTGCCTGTGGTGTGCACGTGGCTGCCAGGCACCATCCATGAAGACAGTCTCTGGGAGGGGCGGGGTCGAGGATTCTGTGAGATGCACCTGGTCCAATCTTAAGTCTTAATAGAGGGCAGCTTTTCCAGAAAAATCTTCCACAAAGCGTTTCTCATTATAATGGAATTTATGGGTTTTGGGGGGCAGGAGGCTGCATCAGTTACTAGCCTGTAGGATAGGATCCCATCTGATGACTCAGAATTTGGGGGTTTGTTCCCCTGAAGGAGTGTGCTGTGTAAAGGGCTATGACGGTGGACGGTGTCTTTTCTGCACATCCACATGCTTCTCGATGAACTTGGCCAGCTCCCTATTGCAAATCAGAAAATCGACCCCAAAGTTGCAAATCCTGTTGAGAGTACTGACGTCTTCCCCAGGCATAGACGGTGGCAGTCATAAATATCAGGCACCGAGAAACAGACCGCTTAACCCGAATCTCGCCCTTTGATCACCTCTCCGGCCAGACACCCAGCAGACGCTCACATCCTCTGATAAAGAGTTGCTGGGCTAAATGGGTTTTCTGCTTCCCCTTCCCCAGTTACTCACCCAGAGAATCCGAGGCTGCCTGTCAGGTCGTCACAGTCGTCAGTCCCGTATCTTCCCGCCAGCAGTCCGTGACGGTCCCATTAACTTATATGGTCACATCTCCAGCAGCCCCCACTCCCCGCCATAAACCAGCTTCCCGCCGTGAGAAGCTGTCGAGTGCTCCTTATCGAAGGTTTAAATGGACTCTGTTCATAAATTTCTTACTGAGATGCTTCCTGATAGCTGGGCTGGCCAGAGCTGGGGTGCCGCAGGGCTCAGACAGTAAGTGGTGGCTGGTCGTGGTCAATTACCTCAACCCCATTTATTTATTGCACTGCCCATAAATCACGTAGAAAGCCCCGGTGTTTTAGGGCCGGAGTCCTGGAATCTCACATTATCCGCCACAGTGGGAGAACCAAGGTAGAAGGACCTCCTCCCTGGCCTTCAGAAAGGAGGGGCCCCATGCAGGGCAGCGGCCCAGCTGGCTTTTCTGGTGGTCCGCCGGATCCACCTTCCCCGTCAGATACAGTCCCTGCTGCCTGCCTGTAGATACCTGTAGGATTACTCTGGGCGGACACCATCTGTCTGTCCCTGAACCAGGCAGGACTCTCCTCTGTCTCCTGGGTGGTCCTCCTCGCACCTCAGTGGTTCTGGGGGCTGTTTGGTCCTGGATGAGGGTCAACTCTGCCTGAAGTTTAATAGTGAGCAAGGACCTGCCTATACCACAAGGGCAAAGTGAATGTAATCTCCAGCATTTAGCATCTTAACTGAGTGTAGGTCTCTCACTGAGCCAACCTTTGCTGAAGGCGCAGTTCCCAGCACACGAGCCTTGTGTCCCCTGACCTTACCTGGCCTCGTGGTTGTACGAGGTCACAAACTGCTCCCGAAGGTCTGTGACCTTGGAGACATGCTGCAGGCCGCCTAGAATGCCCACCAAGCCCTCCATCCCATCGTCACGTCTTGTTGCCCTGAGCACCTCGAGCTCTGTCCCCAGGTAACAGTTGTCACGAGCTGCAGCAAGGAGAGTGGGTGGCCCCGACCTGGGGCGCAGGGCAGAAGGGTGCCCGTCTCCTCTTCCCGGGTCCTGCCCCTCCGCCGCAGGCACTCGCCGGGCTTGTGATGAAGCGTCTGGGTGCAGGTCTGCAAGGGTGTGGGCACCGTTTGAAATGGAAAAGTCAGGTGGGCTGTCACGTGTGAAGAAGGAAGCGGGGCTCTGCAACTCCATCTCGGCTCTGACCTTGGACCTTGACCATGTACCTGACCATCTGAAGGCGGCCTGAGAGCTTCGCTCTTCCTAACTTCGTCTTAGGAACGCAAGTGAAGCAGACGGGACCCAAGGCGCTTCCAGCGTGGACGGCGGCAGCTCAGCCCCACTTTGTGTCCAGAAAGGTCTGTTGGGTTTTCCAGCAGCTCGCCCGCCCCCCGGAGCCAGAGGAAGAGAGGAAGTCGTCTTCAGGTGTCGGACTGCTGATGGTCAGGATTTGCTGCTGACCCAACCCGCGTGCCATTCCCTCCCCCCGTGGACTCCACCATGTGAGCAAAGGCCCCAGGGCGGGGAAAGAGCAAGGGTGGACTTGGCCTCAAATGGCTCTTCCTGAGTCCCCATGGACCCTGTGTGGGCCCCCAGCCTCATCTCCCATCCGCGGCGGAGCGCAGGGCTGTCGGGGGTTCGGGGGAGGAGAGGGAGGGGCAGTCAGCCATGCAGACCGAGGCCCACCCACCACTGCCAGCCCTGACCCCTCAGCAGGGGCGCAACCGTCAAAGAAAGGTTTTGAGAGGAATCTGGTGTTTCCTCCCCAGAAACAGGGAATATTTAACATTTGTGCAAGAAGAAAACGGGAACTCCTTCTGAACAAAATGGCTGTCCTGTGCTTTTTAAGCAAAAACTTTCCAAACTTTTTAGTGTCAAAACTGTAACCAAGTGTCTCCTGGTTTTTCCCAGCGTATGTGGCGAGTGCTGTGACCCCCATCGTAGGTGTTTCTCCTCCCGACCCCGGGGGAGCGGTGGATTAGGGATTGATTTACGGGGAGTGGGTTCCTGTCCCACCCCACCTCCTCTTTGGTTTCTCTGCTTGTCGATATTGTCCGTGTGGTTCAGAGAATCGGGGCGGTTCCATTGTGTCCATTGTTGAGATTATTAAGATATTACAGAGTAGTTGTAGAACTGAAAAATTAAAGAGCTGTGTTTCTTAAAAAAAAAAAAAAAAATCCAACCAATATCATGTTAACAAAGGAATTCAAGCTCTGGGGCAGCCAGACACTGCCCCTCTCCCCATAAGGTGGCCGAGGTGGCAGCCGGGCCGGCCGCTGGGGAGACGCTAGGTCCAGGTCCAGGCAGGCGACCACCCGCTGAGCTCAGGAGGGGCTCCTGGGGCCTGGCTTGCCTGTCCACCCTCAGGGCCTCTGCCAGAGGCTCCCAGATCCTTGACCCTGTAGCTGCCCTCACCCCCACACTGGTCCCCGCCCAGCGTGCTGAGTCCCGTGTGGTCACCTGGGCCTGGCGCTGGCCCCTGAGCCCTGCACCAGCCACAGAGCCTCCTCCTGCCCACTTGGTGCTATACTCTCCGGGGCCCATCCAGGATGGGCCAAGCCCCGGCCAGTCTGGAGTTTGCGGTCTGGGTGGGGGGCGGGCTCAGAGCCCAGCCCCTCTGACTTCAGTCCCTGCAGCCTTTCCCTGAAAGCTTTTGAGACCCCCCAGGCTGCCCGTGTGGGCCCCAGCAATGGCCTGGCCAGGAAAGGAGATGACCTCCACTGAGCCAGAGAGCCCGGCCCTGATGGGGCTGCCTCCCCCCCTCCCACACTCAGCAGTATTGCACACGCCCTGGACCCCCAGGGGCAGCCCAAGGCGCTCGAGGCCAGTGGGTGTGTGGGTCGTAGACTGGGGTTTCCTAGGGTTCCCCTGCCCACCCCCCCCACCCCCCGGCTCGGCTTCAGGAGGGAGAGCCGCCCCTGCTGAGGAGCCGGGGCCCTGGGCACTGACCCTGCAGCTTGAGTCCTTTTGGTGACAGTAGCGGCCGAGGGGTGGTGTCTGAGCGGGCCCACCACTGCCGTCCACTGCACGCCGGCCCGGCAGTGTCGCTGACACGATCATGACGTTACAGAGAAACTGTGTTAGAGTCGACTTTGCCTTGATAACTATTGTAAACACTTTGTTCATTTTTTTTCTTTTTTATTCACAAACTAAATCCATCAGGAAATTATAAAGTTATTTAAAAATCGCGTGCTATTTTTCTTTGAACCTCATGCAGTCTGCTCATCCAGGTAGGATGTGTCCTCAGATGCTAGAAAGGCAGGAGAGCAGGCGGTCCCCGTGCAGTCAGCCCCACCAGGAGTCCCTGGGAAGCAGGGATGCCCAGGTCACGGGAGGGCAGAGGAGTGGACAGCACCCTGGCCCTGACAGGCTGACAGTGACTCTCTGAAAAAGGGGAGCCCCTCTGGGCATTCACCTGGACTCAAGGCTGGTTGCCCCCCTTACTGTGTTTCTCGGTTTGCACACCGAGGCCCGAGCTGGGGTCCCCACTTCACTCTGTCCCAGAACAGTGCCCACAGGTCTGATTCAGATGGGGCTGGAGCCACCCCCCCAACCCTGGGATGTGTGGTGGCATGTATACCCGGGATCACATGAGCTGCATAATCGGACAGAACGGGGGTTGGGAACTGGGGGTTGCCAAGACCATCTGCTGGGAAGTTAGGCAGCTCTGAGCCTGATGTCAAGTTTTTCTGGGGACTTCGGTGAGAGTTGGTTTTTTCTGCTTCATTTTGTTACCTTGTCTCCCGCACAAGGGACTCAGCCCGCTCGCCGCGTTCCCACCCTCTCCATACAGGTTCTGAAGCCCACTGACGTTGGCACACGGACCAAACACCACCCTCCCGTAGCCCTGCCCATGCCCGGCTCTGCCCGGCGTCCCTCCCTCCAGCAGAGAAGGCCTGGAGTGGGCACATCTCACTGCAGGATGTGTGTTTTGCTGCATAAATGAAATCGCCACCATGCGCCCATGTGTCCACCACGCAGAGCTGCTGGGTGACACTGGTCGCTGTCCCCAGGGTCTCCCATTCATCTTGCCTTGTTGCTTGCTGATTCGCCCCGTGGTCTCCTGCTCAGGTGCAGAAAGAGGGACGCAGAGGCCACGAGGTGTAAGGAGAATACGTGAGGCGAGAACTTGCAGTGGAGAATTCCATCTGTGAACTTGGTTTCTTTGGACTGGGAGACGACTGCTGTGATTTGGAGCCTCTTGGGCTGGTTTGAAAACGATTAGGTGCTGGTTAGACCCTGAGGGAGCATTCCAAGGAAGCTGGTTTGAGAGCCACACGCTTTCCCAGGTGTTGGGGGAGTGTGGGAGAGGGCCCCGGATTCACAGCCCAGGGCCTCGGCTGCCCTTGACCTCAGCCCTGCTACGTTCTCCAGGTCACAGGCCACGATGAGGACAATGGGCAATTGTGTTTCTCCTGCTTGAGAGCGGAGACCTGCATTCTTCAGGTCTGCAGCTGCTCTGAGACCACCCAGCAGGTGCACCAGGAGGCGGCCCCCAGCAGGACGTGGACACGGAGACCGGCCCGTGAGTGTCGCTGAAGCCAGAAGCTCCTGCCGGGTCGGCTCAGGCTCCAGTTTCCTTTTCTTGTGACTTTATTCCTCAGGGCTCCTTTCGGACTTTGGCGGGGAGCCGTGGTGTCCGTCCCCGCTCCAGAGCTGTGGGTGGGCAGTGAGTGGGAGCTGGGGGCTCCATCTATCTCTCCTTGGGTTGTTGCTGCAGTGCGGAGTCAGGATGAGCCACGGCTTCAGGATCCTCCTGACACTTCAGGAGAGAAGAGAACACGAGTAGCCACTCGGCCTCTGTCTGTGGGGCCACTGTGAGATGTCCCCGGGGGACCTGATGGGCGGCCGTCCAGGAGAGGCCAGGCCAGCATGGGGCCTGCTGGGGTGTGGGGAGCAGGATGCCCATCCTGCTGGACGGGCGGGGAGCCAGGGCAGAGCAGGGCTTGGCCTGTGGGAACCTCGGCCGTGTGTGCGAAGGCAAGGGTCCAGGGATCAGACAACAGGATCGCCTTCTGGCCTGTGCTGTGTGTCAGGCTGTGGCCTCGGGAATTCACCTGGCTTCTCTCATCTTCAGTTTCCTCATTTTAAAACAGATAAGGATGCCTACTCCCACAGGTAGAGACACGAGGCCTGGAGAGGGGGATTCTCCAGTGGGGGTCACCAGCCTCTTCGCCTGCCCTGTTCCAGCACCTGCCCTGACCCCCTGCCGGACCTTGGCCACGGTGCCCTCACCCAGGGGCGTGGGATGCCAGCAGTCACATGGCTTCTGCTTTAGAGGGCAAAGCCCAGATGCCAATGTGCTGTTTCATCGGCCGGGCCGCGCCGATCTCCCAGGGATAGGCTCCTGAATATGGGCTTTGTCTGCCTGCCTCTTAGTCATGGTGACAAAGGACACCCGGGAGATGGGAACCCGACGCCAGATTCTTGAGCCAGGACGTCAACGCTGCAGAGTCCAGCCTGCAGCCCCCAGCGTGGACTGAAACCTGCAGACGCTGCGGGGATGCTCTGACCCCAGCTCCCCGCCCAGGCCGGCAGCTGGAAAGTCCCTGAGGGCGGGCGTCTGCTCCTCTGGCCCCAAATGCAGTGGTGCATACTCAGGCTCATAGCAGAACCCACCAGGCACTGGAACGGGCCTGCTCTCGTCAGGTCTCCCAAGAGCTTTAAATCCAAGACGGTCCCACAGCTGTGTCGCTGGACGTGCATTAGGTGGGCATCTGCTAGAAGGTGGCCTCCCCTACGAGCCAGACCTCAGAGCCAACCTGCAGGGCCCCGGCTGCCCCCTGCTCAGGGCCGGGGCAGCTGGGAGAGGGACAGTCTGGGCCTGACCCTGGAGCTCGGGATCTTCACTGTGCAAGGCCTCACCATCCACACACCCTCAGCTTAGGTCCTCGGGGTCGTGGGATTTCCTTCAGTGCCCCTGAGCTGACTAACGAGGCTCCTTCCTACCTCACGGCCGGGGGACAGAGACCTCGCATCTAAAGCAGGTGCTGCTGCTTCAGAAGAGAGTCTCCATACTGAAGGCTCGATGGATGTTCTGGGAACTTGCCAGGGACTAAGACGCAACTGGTCTTTGTAAAGGTCCCTCCCCTCCCCAGAGTGTGTGTGTGTGTGCATGCGTGCGTGTGTGTGCACTCCGGGTTCATGCACCCCCATAAAGGCTTTGGCCCAGTGTGAGGGTCTCCCTGTGATGA